ATTCCTTTTCTGAAATAAAATAATAATTTTTTAAAAAAAAAAAAAAAAGTACTGGCCCAAACTTTTGAATGGTAGAGTTTAAAATCACATGATAGTATACATTAATAAAGTAAAAAAAATAGGAATGTTGTTTTTGAAATAAAAAAGAATGTTGTTCTGGAAACATGGAGACATGACATATTTTTGACATAACTGGATAACTTGAATGTTGGAGGCTTTTCTTACCAAACGGTAAAGAATGCGTTGGGTAACTTATTTAACACAATCCTAATCTTAATCATCTGTTATTTTTAGTTTATGACTCCTACTGCATGTTATGCAATGATTGAATACTAAAAACCTGCAATACAAGCTACTAGGTTTCTTGTAACACATTTCAAAAGAAGTGCAGGCAAACAAATCTTCTTGAGCAGTAATCAACGGGTTTAAATGATAATGTTCACTTAATGGACACTTACTCGATGTGTGTTTTAACTGGGTATAGATGCATTACGTTTAATATGATGAATTTCTCTCTTTTACAATCCAATAATCTTCTGTCTATAAAGGGCTCACCCATGCTTATTGGGGAAATGGACTCCTCTGGCAGCTTAAACGCACACTCTTTGTTCCATCTGAGTGAGAAAATAAGAGCTAAAGCAGTGTTTCAGGTAAGTAACAGTGTTATGCAGTATTGTATACGTTTTGAACACAATGTGGACTGACTGCATATTCTTTAATAGACTCAACAGGCACAGTTTGTCACGTGGCAGTTTGAGACGGAGTATAGAGGTAGTGACTTCACAGCAGCGGTTACTATGGCCAACCCTGACATTCTGAGGGAATCAGGTATGATCGTGTGAGTCCCTCATTAAAACAAAAGACATTCTGATTTATTGATTTCACAGGAATGTGCATTAGTTACAACAAAGCACTGGCTTCCAGGCAGAACAGGTTTTTCTATGGTTGCCTTTGCATGTCATTTTGATGAATTAAATGATTAAAAGAAAATGATTACAGACTGTAAGTTATTATTTTCAAAGCTTGTTGAGTGGAACTGCATTCATTTTAAACTCCATAAGTCACCCTGCTTGTGTTAAAAATGTTTAAATCCGTTGTTTCTTGTCATTAGTGAGCAGTGTTGATGTGAAAGGTTTCACAAACTAGGGGAACTTCAGGGGGTTTATGAGTTGATAAAATGCGAATAATTAATTAAAATGTAAAAATCCTAAAAGTAATAAACTGCAACAACATAGCAATGCACTAAAATAAATATCTTCTATTCACTAAAAACTCTCAGAACACCTTAAGAACCACATAGCAACACACTGGCATCCACACAAGCATACTAGAGACAGTTTAACAACAAACTAAAACACTACGAACCACATAACCCAAAAAACTCCCGAACAGCTACATAGCAACACACTGACAACCCCTCAGAACGCCTTAACAAACCCATAGCAATGCAACAAATATCTTAGCATCCATACAGCAATGCACTAAAGACACTCAGAACATATTAGCAACCACACAGCAGCACACTACAACCATTGAGAACACCCTAGCAACAGCACAACACACTAAAACATTTTAACAGCTGCATATCAACACCCTGGCAACCCCTCAGAACACACTGCATAGCAATGCAAAAAAACACCTAGAAACATCTTAGTAACACCCCGGCAACCATTGTAAACGCAGTGGCAACTGCACAGCAGCAAACTAAAACCACTCAGAACACCTTAGCAACCGCACACCCACCACTCTCCAACTCTAGTTAAAGGTGCTGTATGTATTTTTTGACTGGACTAAAGCATAAAAATACCATAATATGTTTGCAGATATTTAGGAAACATGCTAAGTTCACATACTTGTTTCTCCGAAAAACAACACTTCAGGCAGTTATTCTACTTTGTAATGTGCATTCCGTGTCAGAATGTCTGTTTTTTTTTTAGGTCCATGTGATTCCGTGCACAGTCCGTTTACCCAGTAGTATTTCAACACCCCGGGTTGCCAGTTGGTGGAAAACACATCGTATTGCAGCCATGGAACCCAGCAAATTAACTGGGTCAGAGTTCTCAGATTCTACCAGACTTAAAAAAACCTCAGCATCCATCTAAAAAGTTCTATGACCAGAGACATATTAAAATGCGCATAAATCAACTGACAGTGTAAGACTTGTTCCATTGTCAATTGCACTCATTCCTGTTGCTTGTCTTTAATCTGGCAACCCGCGTGAGTGTCAAGTCTGAAAAGTAGGGGGCGGGTGAAACAACACTCTCCAATATTTTGAATTTGGACTGCAGTTCAACCGCTAGTGGTCAATATCACCTACTGCATCTTTAATGTTGTTGTTTGTTTGTGCATTTGTTTTTCTTTGTGACAGTTATCATGGTTGCACACTTTCTTCAAAGCGTATCCCCGCAGCTGGTTCTGGGGGGAGAGCTGGTATACCATCGAGGTCGAGCAGAGGAAGGGGGCATTCTTACCCTGGCAGGCCAGTACTCAGGTTAGAGTGATCGTCTGCTCTTGCTCAGCGGCCGTCTGTTTGTCATACACCAGTATAAGTTGTCCTAAACAGTTGCTTTTTCAGTGAAACTCATCCTGTTTGTGTGTACAATGTTTGCCTGTTTCTTAAAAAGACTCAAGGTGGGGTTTACTTGGGTTTCAGACTCAAATGTCATGTCTCAAATGTCTTAGGGCCAAATTGGGTTGCAACACTGAATGCTGGTAAAGGAGGTGCACATGCCAGCTACTACCACAGAGCCAACAAACAGGTATGGTGGTGTTGAAGGATATGATGGTGTTTCACAGTAATGGTCTGTAATTCATCTCCACAGATTCAGGTGGGAGTGGAGTTTGAAGTGAGCACTAGGACCCAGGAAACAACCTTTTCCTTTGGTTACCAGATGGAACTTCCTGAAGCTAAAATGGTCTTCAGAGGTAAGAAGGGCAGATATACTCACTGTGCACTGTATCACAAATTGCAGTAACTACTCCAACACTGGAACTGAGAAATAATTTTTGATATCAGTTTTCACTGTTTTTTTGTTGATTCTACAGACATGACATGCAGAATAAAATATTTGTATTGTGGGCATATATAATTCATCACTTAATTTTACGTACATTGTGAGCATGATTTACTAATGTGGATAGGAGTTAGTAAAGCTTACCGATGATTTCACTATATGAGGTAACGAATTAGTAAAACATGCTCACGATTTACTTAAAACGAGGGTACAAATTAGTAAATCGTGCTGATGTATTACAAAGTCATGGGAACGAATGGGCAAAAAATATTTTTTTCCCCCGCATGCCATGTCTGGGGCTCCGTATGATTCTTAACATCGTTGAGCCAAACAATATGGCACAAAACAGAAAAAACACCCAGTTTCAGTCCAAATTGAATTTTTACAATGTATAGCTAAAGCATTTTGCATGTGCATTTTTAAAAAAAATACTTGTTTAGTTTGCATTCTGTGCTGAGTTGCCAGTAAGTGTTTACTACACTCAGCTCCATTTAACTCCTTTGACCTAATATCAGCACAGAAGATGGAAGTTTGAAGTTTGCAGGCTTTATCTTGGCCTGGCAATAACAATGAAACTTTAAAATAGACTTACCACAAACTTCTATACACTACCGTTCAAAAATCTAAGGGCTGGAAAGATTTTTTTTGTGTTTTTGAAAGAAGTCTCATGCATAGCACAATGCATACCACAATACCAACAGTAATATTAAGAAATATTTATGCAATAAAAAAAGGTTTTCTATTTTACAGTGGTAAAGTTGAATTTTCAGCATCATTACTCTTCAGTGTCTAAGGTGTCACATGATCTTTCAGAAATCATTCTAATATGCTGATTTGCTGCTCAAGAAGCACTTCTTATTATTGGCAATGTTGAAAACAGTTGTGCTGCTTAAAATTTTTGTGAAACTGTGATACATTTTATTTACATGATTCTTTGTGTAGAAAAAAAAAGTTTAAAAAGAGCATTTATTATTATAAAAGCCTTTACTGTCACTTTTGATTTTTTTTCAATTTAATGCTTCCTTGCTTAATAAGAGTATTAATTTCTCTTTTTCCATTGTTGAGTTAGTAGTCTTTTAAATGCCTAATATGTGTAACAGAATGATTAAATTTAGGATTAATATTTAACTCATAATCTCTGTCAATCATTTGAATGTTTTTATAGGAATGGTGGACAGCCGCTGTATTATTGGTGGGGTTCTGGAAAAGCGGCTTTACCCCCTTCCTGCCACATTGATCATGGGTGCCTTTGTCAACCACAGAGCAGACAAGTTACAGGTCGGTCTTGGGGTTAACGTTGGTTAGATGCGTAACCTAACTGAAAAGAGGCACCACTCAAGACTGGGGACTTCAGAAAACCACCTTCACGTCTGCCCAAAGACCCCGGTCCACCACGGACTACGGAGAGAACAGGCAAGCTAACCAAAGCCCTGTTTGCTAGACTGGACAATCATGCAGTTCATGGCAAGCAGGAATGAGGGCTGAAAAAACCAGGAACGTCCCCTCTATGTTGGTTCCATCATGTGTCAAGGATTTAGCTGTTTTGGTCTTATATTGGTCCCTTAAGTAACCTGAAGTAAATATTCAAAGATGATCTTACTTAAGAACAAGATGGCAACTTCTGCAACTGCTGAAGGAGACCACACAAATGAATATGTAGCTATGTCACAAAATTTCCTGTTACTTCTCTATTAAAGATCAATTTTTTTTTAGCAAACAAATATAGTTCACTCCCAAATCTATGTCAAGCTAAACATATTGAAGATTAGCAAAGAGCCACACAATTTATCATGTATCATCCCCTCTGTTGTCTTTCATTCAAACAAATCACTCTCTTGCTCTCCTTTGTTAAGCTAAACTTGAAGACTCTCCTTGAGGGTCGGATTCTGGTGTAATGGCAAGTAATCAGCACAGAAGATGGAAGTTTGAAGTTTGCAGGCTTTATCTTGGCCTGGCAATAACAATGAAACTTTAAAATAGACTTACCACAAACTTCTATACACTACCGTTCAAAAATCTAAGGGCTGGAAAGATTTTTTTTGTGTTTTTGAAAGAAGTCTCATGCATAGCACAATGCATACCACAATACCAACAGTAATATTAAGAAATATTTATGCAATAAAAAAAGGTTTTCTATTTTACAGTGGTAAAGTTGAATTTTCAGCATCATTACTCTTCAGTGTCTAAGGTGTCACATGATCTTTCAGAAATCATTCTAATATGCTGATTTGCTGCTCAAGAAGCACTTCTTATTATTGGCAATGTTGAAAACAGTTGTGCTGCTTAAAATTTTTGTGAAACTGTGATACATTTTATTTACATGATTCTTTGTGTAGAAAAAAAAAGTTTAAAAAGAGCATTTATTATTATAAAAGCCTTTACTGTCACTTTTGATTTTTTTTCAATTTAATGCTTCCTTGCTTAATAAGAGTATTAATTTCTCTTTTTCCATTGTTGAGTTAGTAGTCTTTTAAATGCCTAATATGTGTAACAGAATGATTAAATTTAGGATTAATATTTAACTCATAATCTCTGTCAATCATTTGGATGTTTTTATAGGAATGGTGGACAGCCGCTGTATTATTGGTGGGGTTCTGGAAAAGCGGCTTTACCCCCTTCCTGCCACATTGATCATGGGTGCCTTTGTCAACCACAGAGCAGACAAGTTACAGGTCGGTCTTGGGGTTAACGTTGGTTAGATGCGTAACCTAACTGAAAAGAGGCACCACTCAAGACTGGGGACTTCAGAAAACCACCTTCACGTCTGCCCAAAGACCCCGGTCCACCACGGACTACGGAGAGAACAGGCAAGCTAACCAAAGCCCTGTTTGCTAGACTGGACAATCATGCAGTTCATGGCAAGCAGGAATGAGGGCTGAAAAAACCAGGAACGTCCCCTCTATGTTGGTTCCATCATGTGTCAAGGATTTTGCTGTTTTGGTCTTATATTGGTCCCTTAAGTAACCTGAAGTAAATATTCAAAGATGATCTTACTTAAGAACAAGATGGCAACTTCTGCAACTGCTGAAGGAGACCACACAAATGAATATGTAGCTATGTCACAAAATTTCCTGTTACTTCTCTATTAAAGATCAATTTTTTTGTAGCAAACAAATATAGTTCACTCCCAAATCTATGTCAAGCTAAACATATTGAAGATTAGCAAAGAGCCACACAATTTATCATGTATCATCCCCTCTGTTGTCTTTCATTCAAACAAATCACTCTCTTGCTCTCCTTTGTTAAGCTAAACTTGAAGACTCTCCTTGAGGGTCGGATTCTGGTGTAATGGCAAGTATGACGATGGAAGAAAACGCAGTGTCAGTGTGAACTGTATAAAGATGCACTATACATGAGATAATACAGGACTTTTGTCTGATTTGACAAATGTCAGAGCCGTGGTCCAGTAGTGCCCGTTTTTATGAAGCATAACAACCACTGGTTCACAGGAATGAGTCAGGCCTGTTTTATATCAACCACATTCACACTGCAAAGTTTCAGGAGTGAGAACCACATATAAATGCGGAAGGGAATCCCCCAAATTAATGCAGCTTAAAGTCTGTTCACATCAAGAACTGTAACTGAACTTAATAAAGTGGGCAATTGTGGCAATTGACAAAACTGCGGCATAATGTGTGAATGAGCAAGCTCGTACCCCTTTACCTGTGTTTTCCTTGCACTTCTGTACTTCAGCTGCTGTAAATAAAGCAGTGGGTAAATGGTGCAGTGTCAGTGTGAACTGTATAAAGATGCACTATACATGAGATAATACAGGACTTTTGTCTGATTTGACAAATGTCAGAGCCGTGGTCCAGTAGTGCCCGTTCTTATGAAGCATAACAACCACTGGTTCACAGGAATGAGTCAGGCCTGTTTTATATCAACCACATTCACACTGCAAAGTTTCAGGAGTGAGAACCACATATAAATGCGGAAGGGAATCCCCCAAATTAATGCAGCTTAAAGCCTGTTCACATCAAGAACTGTAACTGAACTTAATAAAGTGGGCAATTGTGGCAATTGACAAAACTGCGGCATAATGTGTGAATGAGCAAGCTCGTACCCCTTTACCTGTGTTTTCCTTGCACTTCTGTACTTCAGCTGCTGTAAATAAAGCAGTGGGTAAATGGATGTGTTCTGTCAGTTTCCTAAAGCGCCTCCCTTACAGCTAAATGATATGATATAGAAACTCTGTAAGTAGATTGCATTTACACAATGTAATAAAACTGTGAAGAAACTTATTAAAGATCATTGCAAGTTATCTGCATGATGCCTGAAACACTTGAATAGGATTCTGAAACACCTGAACTAATAAAACCTGAAATAATAATTTTTAAAAACCCATTATGAATAATAAAATTCATAAGTCAAAAGTCAGTTAGCTGCTGTTCAAATACTCATCTGAACAATTAATTTCTCCAGGTAGTGCAGTTAAACACATATGCCCGCATTCTCCACCAACAAACACACTTTGACCCTATGAAGATATATGTTTAAAGAAGACTAGGATTCAAAGTTGAAGTTCAATCAGTTGACGGAGAGTTTACTGAAGACAAAGTTTTCCACACTTCCAAAGGTTGTAGAAATAAGTAAGGGGATCAAGCCTCAAACTAAATTATGATAGTTCTTAAAAGGTTAGTTCTCCCAAAAATTAAAATGCTGTCATTAATTACTCACCCTTATGTCGTTCCAAACCCATAAGACCTCCGTTCATCTTCGGAACACAAAGATATTTTTGATGCATTCTGACAGCTCTCTGACCCTCCCATAGACAGCAAGGGTACTACCACGATCAACGTCCAGAAACGTAGCAAGGAGATCGGCAAAATAATCCATGGGACATCAGGGGTTCAGCTGTATGAAGCTACGAGAATATACTCGCACCATTTCTACAGATTCTGATAGTTAACAGTACAGATAATTCTAGATCTTCCAAAAATAGTATCCTGTTCTTTACGCAAATGTGGATAAAGACGTTATCTCTCAAACACAATGCTCTACATTCATAAGAAACTACCATAAGGTTGCATGTACATCATAAATCCCACAAAGGCACTTCTGGATCTTCATCTGGAAGGCTGTTGATTTTTAAACTCTCTTTCTGCAAAACAGCTTTTTGATTAATTTGACCATATAGTGATCAAATGATTTATTTACAAAACCCATTTACTTGCGTATTCCTCTTTGTCCTAGTTAGGTCAGAGGGTCTTGACTACAAATCTCCATGTCTGTCTGTCTTGGTCTGCCTGCTTTGCCTTTCTCAAAGACATATTGATGCTCTTCAGTTCTGCTTACATTGTTGTTCTACAGGTTAGAGCTGGTCTTCCTCTTTTTCTCTTCCTTTGAGGGCTTCAATCCAAGGCATGGCAGGCAAGTGCATATTTATTCTCTAGAATCCGAGCTAAATGAGTAAGCTACTGTAAATAATATATTTTTTATTGTGTGTAATTTCTAGATGTAATTTTGTCTAATTATAAAGAAGACACTGATGTAGAGGTTAGTATAGGTGCATGCAAAGTTGCTGTATCCTTACATATTGTAAGGATATAGTATTCCCAAAAATATGTTTCTAAAGGGAACTGTATATAGTTGTATCCCAACAAAATGCAATCTAGGAAGAAAATCTCGACTGCAAGTCTACATGTCATGTTTCCTTTCCCTTTCACTCCATCCCAAATAGTCTTTTATCTCTCCACTTGTAAAGGTGGCTGTAGTCCAGTCAAGTCACCTTTATTTCTATGACACTTTAAGTAATATGGATTGCTTCAAAGCAGCCTCACAGTAAAAATAGCAGAATCAGTCATGATAACTCCTTTATGGAGATAATTAAGATTCTGCTTTAAAGCAGCTCTAAAAAGAGAGCAGTGCAATTATTTAGCTCAAGTCAGTTCAGTGTTGGTTCAGTTCAATAACAGTTCAATAGTGTAAAGTTAAAGGGGTCATATGATGGGATTTAAATTTTTCCTTTCTCTTTGGAGTGTTACAAGCTCTTGGTGCATAAAGAAGAGCTGTAAAGTTGCAAAGACTAAAGTCTCAAATCCAAAGAGATATTCTTTAATAAAGTTACTTCGTCATGCCTGGAGCTGATCCGTGCTGGTCGCTGAGGAAATACATCAACTTCGCGCTGTGGATCGCCGGATCGGCTTTCACCGTGGACGAAGTGGAGTCCAGCCCGGGGTCATCACATGTAGTTGCCGCAAGCCCACCCGCCGCCGCTCACTCTAGCCCGCCGTGTGTGACGCTGTATTTCTTTGTGAAAGTGAAACTACTTTGTTTGGCCTTCCAAAAGAGGACACGACTAGAAATCAGTGGTTAAGTTGTATTTACAACACTGTTCCAGAACAGTTCAACCCAAATATTCAGATGTGTCCAGTGCATTTTATGGAGGACTGTCTCCTGATCCTGGTAGAGTAGACTACAATGTCGGCTGTTCTGACTCACAGACTGTAAGTACGTTTTTATATTTAAAGAATTTGCCACTGGCGATTCAAACACGAGTTTTGAGCAGTGTAGAGTAGCGTTTGTAGTTTGTCATTTCTCCGATCACAAATGCATACATGGTTTTATGTTTACGCGGCAAGATGCAATGCAATGTGTAAAAAGACAGTATAAGTCATTGTATGTGGAAAATAATGTGTTTTTTTAACCTTAAACCACATAAACACATTTCATTACACCAAATACACAAAATAATGTTCTTTTTAGCAACATCATATGACCCCTTTAATTAATTTTGAAAGAAGTTCACTTCAGCTGTAAGCAGTTCTGCAGAAGACAGTAATGTTTTTATTCAGCTTAAGTCAGTTCAGTGTTGATTCAGTTGTTGCTAGATGTGATTCAGCTCTAAAGCAGCCCTACAGAAGACAATAGTGCCATCATCCAGTTTAATTCAGT